CCCCCCCGGGGTCTGTCCTCTGGCTGTCCCCCGGCCGGGGAGAGCCGGGGTGGGGTGGGGTGGGGGCTGTCAGGGCAGCTGGAGCCCAGGGTGGGTGTGAAACGGGATTTGGGGTGGGTCGGACGAGCCCATGACCCCAGCCCCTTTGGGGGCCCGCGGTGGGGCGGGCAGACCCCCCCTCTCCCACCTCGCTGCTGGGGCACAGGGGCCAGGGCTGTGCCAGCTCCTCTCCCCTTCGCTCCCCGACCCCCGGCGCTCCCCATCCGGCTGGGCAAGAGCGGCCAAACGGCCGCGGTGGTGGGGGGCGATGGGGCTGGGGGAAGGCGCTTTAGCCCCACAGGGCACAGGGGCAGACAGGCTGTGGGGCAGAAGGGAGGCGCGGGGGTCCCAGCAGAGCTTGGTGTCAGTAGGATCTCCCAGGGCACCCTGGTGGGAGGTGACACGATGGTGGCTTGTGCAAGCTGGGCTCACCCCGCGCCCTCCCGGCACGGCTGCTCTCACACGCACCCCATGCCACCCTAAGGGTGCTGGTGTTAGAGAGGGTCAGGTCTCCTCGCAGGGAGTGGGTGGGAAGCAGCGCTGGGGGATACGTAGGAGCAACGGCACCTTCTCACCCATCCTACTCGGTGATGCTTTTGGGAGGGGAGACTGCCAGCAGCCAGCAGCAGGCAGGAGCTTCGTACAGTACTGTGTCCATCGGGCTGGACTTGGCTCTGCCCTGCTGGGTGCTTCCCTTCCCCAGATGTTCTCCAGATGTTCCCGTGGGGCTGTCCTCCCCCCGGCACTGTGCCAACCCAGCTGAGCAGCTGCGGGGATGGCCACAGTCCTGCTCATGATGTCTCTCGGGGCTCACTGCAAGGTGGGTGATGGTTTGCCCTTTAGGTAGAGCTTTGCCTGAAGGTGCCCTTCATATGGCCGGTCCCACCAGCTGCTCCAGAAGAGCCAGATCCCAAGGAGATGGGCTCCCAGTGCTGCCAGAACCCTGTGCCGGGCTCAGCCTGCTGCCAATGGGCTCCATCAATAATAATCCATGTGCCTGTGGCCTCTTCCCTGCTTGAGGAAACGCTGGGTTCCTCAGAAGCTTTCACTGCCTGAAATAAGGCAGGGACCTTTCCTCAGCCTCTCCCCCAACTCCTTCAAACTGAGGGCTTGGGTAGGAGATGCCCCGAGGCAGCTGGGGGCTCGTCTCAGGCAGGCAGCACCTGGGGACAGGCACTATGGGGCATGGAGGAGGAGGAGGAGGTCCGCAGGCATCTCGCCACCCCACCCCACTATCCTTTGTGCCACACTGCTACCCGCATCCCCCGGGCATCCCTGCCAGCTCCGGCTGCTTGCCGGAGGGCTCTTCCAGCCATGGGTATTGCCTGCCTGGGGGCACCGTGGGGGGGCTTCTCCTCAGGGAGAGCGGCCTCGCTACTAGCTGCAGGGGACTGCAGGGGGGCAGCACTCTCTGGCACTGCCCTCTAACCCTGTGTGCCCCACAAACCCTGCTCTGCCAGGCTGCAGGTGAGCCCTGGGACCCACCATGGCACCGGCAGCTTCCCGTGCCAGAGAAGCCTGAGGTTTCTGGGCTGTCAGGGGGTCTCCTTCTCCCACGGCCCCTAAAATGCCAGCCCTGCGGGATTTCAGCAGTCGGCTTCAAATGGGAAACAAATCTCTCCCGTGGTTTGGGAAAAGACAACTGATCTCTGAAGGGACTGCATCTCCTGCCAAAAAAAGGCCTGTCTGCTGCAAAAAGCCTTTGATTCCCCTGCGCCTCCGTGCTTTCTGCAGAGGGAGTCAGCAAACCTGGCTCTTACTTTTACTGAAATCTCTGAATTTAGTATACGGGGAAGGAAGGGGCGGTGGTGAGAGAACAGGCTCTGAAGCACCGTGGCTGCCGGATCCTGCCCCGCGCGTCGCTGCGGGAGGATGAAGCCAGCAGCGCATCCCTGCTCCAGCCCCGGTGCCACGGGGGCAGCAGTGGGGCGGGTGGGCTCCGGGGGGGTATGGGATGGGGATTAAATACTGCTGCGGGCACAGGGGGCTCACAGCTGGCTGTTTTTGGCAGCTCACTCGGCTGCAGGTTGGGAGCCTGATGCTGGTGCCTGGGTCGGGGGCTCGGCTCAGAGCCGGCATTGGCTCTGCCCACGAGGCCGGGCTCCCTGCCCCGGGTGACATCCCTGGCTCCTTCCATCCTCCTGGTATTTTAGAGGTCAGCAAACTGCCCCCCAGCAGGCTGCTCTGCCTGGTGCTGCTGTGGGGACTGGCTCTGTGCCCCCCCTGTCCATGCGGGTGCATCCCTGGGAGAGCTGGGGGGGACACCAGACCTCACGCACCACTTGTCTCCCAGGGTCTGTGTCACTTGCTGGTGTCCTGGTGGTCCCAGGTCGCTGCTGGAGCTGTCACATCCGCTCAGCTCAGCCTTCTGTGGGGGGGGCTCCTTCCTACAGGCACCCCAGGCGGGGGTACACTGGGCTGGGGGGCACAGGCAGGCTCAAGCCCTTGCTCAGCCACGCAACGCCAGCACTGTGGGGACAGTCCCCAGCTCTCCTTGCAGCCCACAGACCCAGCAGCATTTCTCTTCCCTTTTCCAGGTGCCGCGGGCTCTGCTGTGGCAGCACGACCCCCCCCTCCTGCCGACACCACGCTGTGCCACCCCCCGCCACCTGATGCCTGGGGACTGCCTGCCCTCACCTTGACAGGTGGCAGCGGGTGACACGGGGCGGCGTGGGTCCCCTGGCCTGCGCCGGCGCACCCCATGGCGGTCCCCTTGGCCGCCTGTCTGTGGCTGATGCGCCTGGCCACCTGCCTGGCCGCCGGGCACGGCATGGCTGGCAAGAAGGAGATCAGCACGGATGGGGACCTGGTGATCGGGGGCCTCTTCCCCGTCCACGAGAAAGGAGTGGGGACCGAAGACTGCGGCAAGATCAACGAGCACCGGGGCATCCAGCGCCTGGAGGCCATGCTCTTCGCCCTGGACGAGATCAACAAGGACGGGAGCATCCTGCCAGGGGTGAAGCTGGGCGCCCACATCCTCGACACCTGCTCCAAGGACACCTACGCCCTCGAGCAGTCCCTCGACTTTGTCCGTGCCTCCCTCACCAGGGTGGACGGCTCTGAGCACATCTGCCCCGACGGCTCCTATGCCGTCCACGATGACGTGCCCACTGCCATCACTGGAGTCATCGGGGGCTCCTACAGCGACGTTTCCATCCAGGTACCTCCCAGGCAAGAAGGGGTTGGATGGGGCTGGGGGGTTGGCAGGAATGTCAGGGGAGGGGGAGTAAAACCCTGGTAGGATTGCGATGATGCTGCTGCCAGCGTGGCACAGGGATGCTCTCATGTCCCTCATGGTGATGCTGTGCCCCTTTCTGCAGTGGGGAGGGAATGCCAGGGGGCTGTGGAGAGCCCCCCACCTACCATATGCCATGGGAGCCGAGCTGGTAGATCCGTCCCACACAGGGAGGGAGTTTATTCCCCTCCTGGGGTCATGGCAGCAAGCACAACTCCTCAGCCCAGGACAATGCTCAGGTCCATGCTGTCCTTGGTGCCACCACCCTGCTGTGTCCCTTGTCGCTACCAGTGGGCCTGGATGGTGCGAGCCACCTCCCAGCATCCCCAGTACTGGTCCCTGGCCTGCCATGTCCTGGTGTGGGACTGGAGAAGGATGCTGGTCCTCTCCTGCCTGACGTATGCTGCCAGTGCCTGCAGGCACCTCTCCTCCCACCGATGGGTGACAGCATGTGCCCAGTGCCCAGCAGTCCAGCTGCCCCCACCACCAGGTCTGGATGGCCACGGCCATGCCACGGCTGTCCTTGTCCTCCCTGGCCAATATAGTGCTAATGTCAGAATGGCACTGGGGACACTGTGGTGGGGACATCGCTCCTGGCAGGCACAGCTTTGCACTGTGAGGTGGCACCATCCCCTCTGCCCCCCAAAAACCCATCCAGATCCAAGGGGGCACCCACCTCTGAGGGGGTCAGCCACAGGGATGGGCACAGGGGGCTACTGCCCGCACATCCCCAGTGATCCCGTGGGAGCAGTCACCTTGTGCCTTGGACCCAGGTGTCACCCTGGGTGGGGTGCAGCTCAGTCCCCAAAACTGTGGCTCTGTGGACCCAGGGGCCAGCTTTGGCAGGGTGAAGAGCATCCCCTGAGGACACAGGCAGCCGGAGGGGCCAGCCAAGTCCTGGGGGCTGCTGGGGGGCCATGGGCTCGCTGAGATTTAATGAGTCCCCCGGGTGTGTCAAACCACATCTGCTGGTCCCCAGGGTCCCCGCATCCCCCCCTGGCTTGTGGGGTGGAGGAAGCCAGGGCTGGGTGATGGAGGCACCACACCGGTCCAACCCACACGGGCACTTGTCCCTTCCCTTGCTGAAGGACCTGGTGTGTCCCCACAGGTGGGGGGGACATGGTCCCAACCCCAGGAGGCGCGGGCAGCCTGTGCTGGGGCAGCGGGGCGGGCTGGCAGCTCCCGTTGAGCGGGGAGGGCAGGCAGAGCCATCGCTGCGCTCGGGGGCCTTCTTGCCATTAGAGGACTTTGTCGTCGAGAACATTTGTCCACGTTAATTAAGCCGCATCGCTCGCCTGGGGAGCAGCGAGATGTGGGCAGGCTCACCGGCCCTGCTGGCGTGCCCGAGCCCCCCCCCTCCGCCCCCCCTTGCTGCTCCAAGAGCCTGGGTTTTTAACAGCCTCATTAGCGGGGCTTTTTTCCCCTTTGAAGCTAATGAGAGCTTCTGCCGAGCGGCTGGAAGGTGCCGGTCTCGCTGGGGTTCCTGATGTGGGATGCGCAGGCGCTGGTCCCCAGACCCAGCTCTGCAGCCCCCCCCTCCCCCCCCTTC